ATTTGTATTTTATGTTGGTTTATCTAGCTGCTCATCTTGTTGTTCGCGGTGTTGAGGAAGTTTGCCTGGGACTACGGAAGGATTGCTCTAGTCAGCAGAACAGAGGAAAAGTAGGTGCATCAGATTCAGGCTTCACTGTAACTATGCCAGATAGTGTGTATAAGATGCTAAGGCTTAGGGATTTAATATCTTAGTGTGAAATTCATGCTTTGATTAATTACAGAGTAAATTAAATTGAAAGTTTTATGTACAGACAGCTGTTACATTATAGATATTCCACTGGTATTTACACTGAACGTGCAATGAGTAAAACTATTCAGAGAATTGACAGTAGCCTAGTAATGAATTTAGTCATTAGATTTATGTATACAATTATACATTTAAGTTGGACGTTTGGGGAATGCAATAAATATTTATGGGATAGGTTTTTCAATTAAACTCTTTACATAACCAAATTAAAAGTGAAAAGTAAGGGAAAAAATTCTGAAATATTTCTAGCCATTTGGAAAATTGGTCAATATATATAAATTATTTTTCCCATTGGTAAACCAGGCCGACTAGTAAAAAAAAAAGAAATATTTCCGGAATGTACAAACTGAAAATCAAAGAGAAGACGAAAATTTGTCTGGGCAAATTAAAATGGGGCAAATTGTTTTCAAGCATGTAAGGGCAAAAATAAAAAAAAAGTTAAAAAAAAAAACAAACTTGTGTATGGTTATTCATGGACATTGAAACATTTTATAAAATATCATTATTTTAGATAATTTTATTGACACGTATCAAGTACCGAGTACATGTATATGAGAAAGTACTAGGCCATTGCAAAAGGGATATTAAAGTGGTTAATGCACCTGAAATTTTGTCCCCTTAGTAATTAATATTTAGGCAGCACCTCTAATTACGATTTTTATCAGAGTATTGATTTTTGGGGGCATTTTTAGTCCATAGGAGTGTTGGGGAAGAGGAATAGTTTATAGACCGGGAATGGCATCAGTATAAAAATAAAACGCCAGCTGATATTCTCGGGGGTATATCTGTATCATTATATAAGGAGTATCTAGAGGGATAGATGTTATAGAAACAGGAAAAACATCGATAGAAATAAAACACTAGCCATCCAATAGATCGTCACTGATCACTTCCCTGAGGCTTTTAATAGCTTAATTCTCTGTACATCTGCTGCTCTAATGCTTTTATAATTGTAAAGGGTTGTTAAACAGAAATCATAATACTAGCTGCTGTTCTTTTAATAATAAATAAAGTTTCTAATTAATCAAAGTTAAATTATAAAAAACTGACCTTTATTAATATGAATATGCATCAATTTCTTGCAGAATTTTTTCTAACAGAGCAACTAAGACAGCTTTCACAAGAATAATTTTTAATGTGATATGTATATAAAAATTTTCTTTATTAATTCTCTCTTTTTTTTCAGTGCAAATTTGACAACCAACAGCCAATACAATGTGTAATAATCACTGCTTTCTTCCCCTGACTATATTACCCTTTATTCCTTTAATGTCCCATTATTTACATGTATTAATCTACTAAATGCTAACTGCTAGACATATGGTGCTTGACTTCTAATCAAAGCTCTTGGTATGCTGCACTTAAAATAGCCAATATGCAGAGTTCTTAATGAAATCATCATTCTTACAGTAGAACCAAAGTGGCATTATGTACAAGATGGGACATTTTTCATTTTTCACACTGCTTAGAGGGCATTGTTTACATCATGCATGCAGGTTTTGTGGGTTAAAATCTTCTGACCGGTAAAATAACAAAATTCTATCAGTCTAGAAACATAAGATTCATTATTACCGGTACTATATCGTTGCATAAACTGTATTGAACATCTTGCTCATAACAATAAGTACTCAGCCTTTTCCAGTACATTGTATTGAGCTTTCACCGTTATTATATACGAAATATGCATCCTTTATTCTTTAATAAATTAGAAAAAAAGAATGCTGATTTTTTTTCAGTGTAATCAAGTATAAACACGTTAAAAATCCCATGAGGATACTTCACACGATTTTGAGATTTTCAGGAACTCTTTATTGATCTTTTCAAGAACAGTAGAGCCACAATGTATAAATCATCTTATTATGGAAGCTTCCCCAGATAAAACAGACAGGCAGATTTTTTTTTTTTTGGCAATTGAAAATCCATTAGATTTCCAATTAGTTTTACAATCATGCTCAATTAAGCTTTTTTTGTTTTGAGAAAGATGACATCAGAACCACTGATGATTAATTAATAAGATTGACATGAAATATCACAAAATACTTAAAGAGAAGACAAGGTCTTGGTTTTTTGTTTTTTTTAATTTTCTATTATTCTGATTCATCTAGGGAAAAAAAGATCATGAATATGATTGAAACACAGGCACCTGACGTTACTTATTTTTCTTTTAATAAAAAAAAAATATTATTAGGTATATATGTGTATATTTTTTTTTATTAAAAGAAAAATAAGTAACGTCAGGTGCCTGTGGATTGTAAACATGGAACGTAAATGATACATATACTCAGGTGACCTATATAGGCCATAGGCCTCTTGTTTCTTTTATATAGCACTTAATCATGCTTAGATAGACTAACTGGTTTTAGAATCTTGAGAATCATGTAAGATTTTGTCAGATGTCGGTACATTGAACCAAGCCATCGTCTAAATGGCAGATTAAGTCTTGGGTTTGACTGCTATGAATATTAAATAATGGTGTATTGATTTTGGTGACAAATTCAAGGCTCTCGCATCCTTGATTTTTTTAATATGCTGTCTGCAGACAGTATTAGAATTGGCATTTTAGAGGGATTATGGTTGGTACATCATAGAAGCATGCACTCATAGCCATATGTCATAGTCTGGCTATACCAAACAGGGGGAAATATGGTCTTTGGTTTCATTTCTTTTTCATTGTATGATTTAATTATTGTCCTGACAAAATAGTTCAGAGCTGCATCATCAAGTAATATATTTATTTCCTCTGAAACATATATCACTGCATATGCTCATTAAAAGATATTTGAAAGGAGAATTAAGTCATAAATGCAAACTGCATTAAATAAAATATTGCAAAATATGATAGACAGAAAGTTATAGATAAATTTTTGTTATTTTATTCCTTTATTTTTTATAACTTCTTGTAGATAGAGATGAATATTGGATGATAAGATAGCTGTTTGGATACTGTTTGTCTTGATTAAGTATGATGTGCTGATTGGTCTCTGTTTTAGGTGGACCTCCCTGTTTTATGGTGACCATGACGATGACAACAAAAACAAAACCCAGGGGTCAGTGGAATCTTTGGATGCTCACATACATAAACATGACAGTGTATGTATCCATCAGGTCAATCAGTCAATTATAGAAGGGGGGGGGGATAAAATCACATACATAAACATGACAGTGTATGTATCCATCGGGTCAATCAGTCACTTATAGAAGGGGGGATAAAATCACATACATAAACATGACAGTGTATGTATCCATCGGGGCAATCAGTCACTTATAGAAGGGGGGGGGAATCAAATCACTTACATAAACATTGACAGTGTATGTATCCATCGGGTCAATCAGTCCTTTATAGAAGGGGGGGGGGGTTGGATCAAATCACTTAGTACATAAATATGACACACTGAGTATACATAATGTATTCAAGTGCCTCTAGAAGGTGTTAACTGGTGGGGAGATCAAATAATTGTAAATGATAAAGTTAATTTAAGCCCTGAGATATGGGGGACTGCTATTGCATCTGAATATTTTTGGGGAAACATTATCTTTTAAGCAAAATGAGGCTTGGTATTCTGCTAGAAATGGTATTAAATGCGTAACATTGTACATAAATCATTGTTCTCAAAAAACTCATTATTCATACCCTTAGGAATGGATTCACAGACAAAAATTCCATATATCTAAAAAAAAAAAAATCACGGTTACATTATTTTACAGTTTGAATGAAGACCACAGCTGTTATGCATTTAAATGATTTCATAAAAGACAAGAATATTTCTAAAGGTGAACAATGGAGTGACGTTAAAGAATAAAACTGAAATTGCTTGCATCAGCAACATATCAAATGATTACTTTTATTATTTCTTGACGATTGCTTGAGGTGTTTTGTTGCTCACTTCAAATCAAGGAGCCTTGTTAAGAGTGAATTAAACAAACCATCTGTTGAATGTAATGAATCAATAACATGAAATCATTGTCAGACGTATTGACCAAGCTAACAATAAATCACCATTATCACATGAAAAGACAATCACCAGCAGAGCTTCATATGTAGAGGGGTAATGTAATGGAGTGCTTGTTTTATGATTTCAGAATATCTGTTCCTGGATCCCAGCTTTCTTCAGAGTCAAGTAAGTCATGAATCCAGGCATCTGACGGAAAAATATGCACAAGACAAATGATGTGAACAGTTTAGACAGTAGTTCCTGATACAAATGATAACACTCAAACTTCCTGAAACTAAAATCCTTCACACTGGCATAGGTTTATTCATGGATTGTTTAGGGATATCCCTTCTAAAAATTTATCAAGATGGCATCACATTTCTTTACAAACTTGAAGACTTAAATTTCTTTAAAGTCTATTGCCTTTTACACAACCCCCAAATGCTTGTGGACATAGACCCAGAAAAACTTTACAATGTAATGTATGAATAGATTAAGTGGATGTCCAATATGAAAAGTTAATATATGATTTTACTGAATTGATACAAATAATTCAAAATACAGACCGTAATGGCCAGAGTATGATACATATTAAGCCCTAAAACATGTTTGCTCTGTAGAGATTCAGACATCTTAAAGAAGAGTGGACAGGATGCCATTCAGTATTTGTCGTTCCAGCGTTACCTGATTATTTACACCACAATAGTGATGGTGCTCTCTGTTGTCATCATTGTACCTGTCAACTTCTCCGGTAACAACAGTAAGTACTCATATAATCGTGGTAAAGGGGTTGGGGATCAGGTATTCTTAAGTTCTGTGAACCAAGTTAAGAACATTTGTGTCGTATTTCTATCCATCTTTTGGTATTCAAGACTTGTGATTGAATCAATAACATCATTCTTTGTTGCATGCTTAAAATACTTGTTGCAAAAAAAGTTAAAAATATCAAGAATGCTATTTTGTATTTTGTAGTTGGAAATGCAACAGATTTTGGGCATACAACCATTGGAAATTTAGATCCAGAGTAAGTTATCTTAATTAAGGTCATTGGCAACGAAGGGTTTCCGGAGAAAAAAGGTTTATACCCAGGTTTTTTTACTTATGAAAAAAAGTCATTGAGAGTGATCTCCCGTATGGAATTCTCTAGGCGCTGAAAACAAAGAAAGCATATGCAACAGACTGAGAGGTAAACAAAAGCACGTGTGTGTTTTTATCGGATATATTCAACTCTACAGTAATAAAAGAAAAGCAGCGATGGGTTTGTTTACATTGTGTTGAGGGGGCAGACAGTTAACAGGTCGTCATTTAGAATAGGTAAATGATTGCTGGGAAGTGCAAAGGTGTGAAATAATTATGCTGAAAGTGTTGATAGCTAGGTGGACCGAATGAGAACGATTCCATAGGTTATGTGAATGATGTACCATTAAAAAGTTACTATAAATCCTTGCAAAAATGTTTTTGACAGTTCGTTTTCAATTAAGTAAATTATAGAATAGAAACAAACAACCACTCTCTTGATTATTATGAATATTGATTAGATGTTATTACAGAAAAGGGAAGTAACTCAAAATTAAAGAACAGTGCTGGTATTTCTGTGTTTTGTTTCAATATTCGCATTTTCAGCCAAATTATATGCATGTCATCGGAAATAAGGTTTCAACAATGTGTTTTATGTATAAACCTTATGAAATAAATGGGTTTTAGAGAAAACGTATGGTTAAAAATAATATAGGCCCATTTTATCAACATTTTACATAGGAAATGCATTGAAAATTGTAAAAACATTGATTTGACAAAATCGTTAAAGGAAGGCTGGCTTGATGGGTAAAAAGGACCTGAATTGAACATGTTTGGTACCATTAAACCTGTTCAAAAAATTTTGAAAAATTCTATACGAAAACCAGAAACGTTGCCAATGTCCTTAAGAAGACCTGCAAAAAGTTATATAAAAGGAAATGAATGACAGTAAATCTTTAGTTCAACAAAAGTTTGTAGTGTTTCCATAAGATTAAATATTTTGGTTATTAGACAATATTCAGATACAAAATCTTGTATTGGTTCTGGATTTTGATAGTGTTTCCAAATTTTTTGGTAAAATTAGAAATTTTATGAAATTCTTTCAAAATGCTAAAATCATGAATTAGCTTATTTGATCCTAATTTCCTGTATCATTTCCAGTTCTCCGCTGCTGTGGGTCCATGCTGTCCTAGCCGTGGCCTTCCTGATTTTATTGGTCGGTCTGATGCGACATTTCCGCGTTAATCTTCAGTATCAGGAGGATGAGCAGGTGTCAAGGACACTGATGATCTCAGGGATCCCTAAAAACCAGTGCTACAAAAACCAGATCACCCAGCATTTTGAGTAAGTAGGATTTTGTCAATTGTCATCTTCCAGAGTGTTAGAAGTAAACCAGGTGATCTGATCTTGGTGATACTGTTGTCATCTTGGGTCACTGTCATACTTGGAAATCAAAGTTCAAATATGAAATATTGGATATTCTTGTACTAATTGCCTTGTTTGCCAGAAGTGTACCTCATTTAAAATTGCAGACTCTTAATGATATAAGATTTATACCATATTAAGCATTTTGTGCTCTTGAAAACCAATAAGTGGTTAGGACAAACTAAACTAAACAAAAAAAAAAATCTGAGCACGTGAAGGACAATTGCTAAACATAAATAGTCAACACAATGGTAGTGAGTGATTTAATATAATGAATTATCTGCCTTTTCAGGGAAGCATACCCCGAGGCGAGTGTGGTTGATGTCCAGTTTGCCTACAACATCGCAGAGTTAGTGAAACTGGATGAAAATAGGTAAGAATTCAGAACATGCAAATAGAATCAAAGCTGAAATTGTGACCAAGTCTTTTAAGTATCGTTTACTGTAATTTTAGGAGGGTAGCAGAGGAAGCTTTAAAAAATTCTAAGATTGAGTTTGAGAAGACAGGAATTCGTCCAACCATGACGCCGGTCACCTGTGGACAGTGTTGCTGCTGCTGTGCTGCCTGTGGGTGCAAAGAGGTCAGGGATACTTTTATTGTGTCTGATGTCTTAGATATCTGTTAGAAATCAAGAAACATGTACAAGTTTATAATTTGATGATCTTTTATAATTACTATGATAAACACTTTCACCATAATTTTAGGTACTATCTAAATGCTACATACATAGAACAGTGGATGCCAGTACTAATCTTGATTCTATATTTAGGTGGATGCCATTGAGCATTATGAATCAGTGGCCAAAAAATACCGGGAAAAGTGTGAGAAAGAGAAGGTGACTGCTTATCAGGATCCAGCGGGGATAGCCTTTGTCACCTTCTACACTGACCTAATGGCTGCAAGGTCACAGTATTATAATGTAGTAAAGGCAGTGTAGCTCAGCTTATTCTCAGATTTGTGAATCTTTGGCTTTTTGATGATTTATTCTGAAGGGCATTATGTTTTGTTTCAGGGTGAGGAGTGATTTTGAGGGCACCTGCAAAGGCAGCAGTAACCCCCAGAACTCCTCCCTCAACCAGAAGCTGGGGGTATGGAACTGGAGTGTTCACTATGCCCCCTCCCCAGAAAATATTTACTGGTAATGCTCAATAGTTATATACATATATGTTCAGTCAATCCAATGGAAGTAGAAGATATTGTTTAAAAATGATAGAGAAGTTACATACTGACTACAAATGATTGTAGGGAAAACATTTCTAAGTCACGCTGGAAGTGGTGGATGATGGCTATCATCGTCAATGTCATCCTTGTCGTCATCCTTTTCTTCTTCACCACTCCTCTAATCATCATCAACACCCTCAACCAACTGGAGTACCTCAAACCTCTGGAGGAACATGTTAGTACTATACATATTTACATTAAAATATAAGTATCTTCAGGCTTTAAAGGAACTGTTCTAGTAAGTAAGGGTAAGTGATTGTGATAAAATATGAATACTGATGAAAATATCCACTTATAAAGGGGAAATCCAGCTGTAGAGTGGGATAATTTAAATTAAGTGAAATCATTTTAATCCATAACAAGTTTAGATTTCATGCTTTCTAAATATTCACCAATATTTAAATTAGGGATGGCAATAGATTTCAGAATTGCTACTCACTTAACCACAAAACGTTCTGACCGATTAACCGGTTCGTTGTATCAAGATATACATTTTGACATTTTCTTTTCATATACACAAAAAAGCTTAAAAGAACTTAGAAGTTACATTCTGTTTATTATTTTATGTACATAAGAGTATATTTTATTTCAATTTCGAAAGACAAGAAAAAATTAAGAAAACCATGAATCTTGCTTGAGAAATCAGACAAGGATAATTTTCCTACGCAGATAATTTTGCATTGTCACCATAATCAGAACTTTGTCTGAACTCTCACTTTATTTACAATTTACAACGTTCTTTATAATAATATAATTTAATAGATAACGGCAAAATATAGACATACTATAATTAAAAGTGCTTAACGGTGATGTTTTTAATATCATTAAAAAAAAACACAGGACTATTTGGGTAACGGCATGATGTTATAAAACAGTAATGAACACTTTACGAATTGACCAGTTACCCTGCGATCTCAATCTGGAGAGGTACTGTAAATCACTTTTTATTCGCGAGAGCTTTATTTTCGCGTAATTACGCGAGACAGTATTCTCGCGAAGATTCGTGAAAATTTTGTCTCGCTAATAAAGAGTCAATGACTATCTCGCGAAAATAAGGTGTCGCGAAAATTAAGTGATCTACAGTATAATTACCTCCAAATATTCTTAATTATAAGATGTGTAAAAAACACTAAATAAAAATCTATGCAGTGCTTTTCTTTCTAAAAAAGAAAAAAAAAACAGAAGGGATTTTAAGGAAACTTTGCTCAAATTTACATATATTTTATTTTTTCCGACTAACTGATTGTGGATTTTCTAACCGATTAGCATCGTTCTGACCGATTAACCAATTAACCGGTTACAAATTGCTATCCCTAATTTAAATGCAAACATTCTCCAGTGAAGTGGATTCAAGTTTGTTTAAAATCAAATGGGCCCTGGTGTTAGGTATATGCACCTTGGGGGTTGGGGGCCACATTATGGGATCAGAATATGACTTGAGAATATAGTGTAAAAAAATTTTAAAAGCATCTTAAGAACAGCACTTCTTATTTGACCCAGGTAAGCATTTTGGTCCATGGCCCTCTTATTTCTTAAACTGTATAAAGCTAAATACAAGCTGTCTATCAATTAAATGTTGTAACAATTACATTCTTTTCTGCTATATTTATTTGAGTTATGTATTTTCATTTCAGATAAATAAAATTGTAAGCTTTTTGTTAATTTATGCTTTATGATATTTTATGTTTTCATGAAAGTTCGTGCAATACAAACTTTATAAAGCTTTTCACTTATAAGGACGAGTTCATGGTATTGGATTGCATGCTTTCTAATGATTCTGTGTAATACAATGCTTTTGAGGAGTAACGTTTGTTTAAAATGAAATCATCATTTAATTTATTAAGTACTTTTTACCATAATAATAGGTATCGAATAATGCTCTTATGTATCAAATATTAGTCACTCTTTATTCTATTTTTTTTTTTATAATGATTTGAAAGAATGATTTGTAAGAAAACATATTTTCTTGAAGACAATGTATAAAATATATAATTATATAAAGAAATTGAACTTTACTAACATTTACATGATTTTGCACTGCAATTGTATGCATAATTTTGCAGCATTTAGCCTTATCTTAAATTCCCAGCTAGGTCAAGTGGCTTGTCAAAGAATTATGTTATCAATTTACATGTATGAACACTACATTTACTCTTCTCTGCAAGTAATCTAGTCTCTTCCACCATGCGCATTTCCCATTTAGACTGTATATTACAATGTATATGATGGATAATTTGAGTACATGTGTACTCAAAAAAAACATTCCCGTTTTCAATTTTTGATAAACTGCAAAGCACTTTTTATTTGTAAAAAATTTTATTTTTGTGTTATCAGGAACTGCTTGCGAAATTTTTTTCTATAAGCATACAGCAAAAACCTGCATTCGTGAAAAATTTGTCTTGCTTAGCCTTATAAATACCAAATTTGGAACTTGTGAAATAAGGTTGACTCACAAAATTTGATGATCTCCAGTTTTCAAAAGTCAAATACCAGGGTAATAAAATTGAGATTTCCTAGAACTGGATAATTTTCTGACTACCTTAGAATTCCAAAAGAAAAAAAAAAATTCTGCATGCTGATACCCCATCATGCAATGCACTATTAAAATCCTTTTTTCAAGCTGTGGACTTTGATCATTAGAGATTTTTACTTTGGTTTCCAGAGTCCACTGTTGATCCAGTTCTTGCCCACCTTGCTGCTGTGGACATTCTCAGCATTACTGCCCAATGTGGTGTACTACTCTGACTCCACATTTATAGGACACTGGACTAGGTAAACATTCTTAATATTCAGTTGTGAATATTTATACTCCTGTTAATTGACAGATTTATTTTGTGTGCTTGTATAAGGGGAGAGTGGATAAAAAAAAACTTTTCAAGGGAGAAAACTATTGTAAGTGGTCTATATGTCGAATAATATTCCTGTTTGTTATAGAACTGCTGAGCACCATGCTATAATGGTCAAGTCCTTTATATTCCTGATTCTGATGGTACTTATCCTTCCCTCACTAGGATTAACGAGGTAAAATACAGCTTAATTACTTTTCATTAAAGGGATTAAAAATATAGCAGAAGCTATGGTATTCTGAATATTCTTGTTCAAGATACTGAAGTTGAAATGTATTTCCTTTTTTTTTATACCTAAGTTTAGAAGATAGTGAATTTGTATACTTATTTTATGTTGTAGTACCAAGGCTTTAATTCAGTGGTTTGTCCTGGATAGAGACTCAAATTTCCGTTGGAAGTAAGTTTGGAGAGAGAGAGAGAGAGAGAGAGAGAGAGAGAGAGAGAGAGAGAGAGAGAGAGAGAGAGAGAGAAACTTACCACAATGCTGTGAATAATCATTTATGGAACGCCAACACTGTCTTATAGCATACAACTATGCATTTATTATGTCAATTTTTCATTACGTGATGTGAACATATCTTTACGTTATGTCAATTCTTTATGAGATTATGTAAAAATATCTTTACATCATGTCAATGCTGCATTACATGAAGTAAATACATCCTTTCATTATGTCAGCACTTCATAACTTGAAGTCGAAAATTCATTATGTGAAGCGATAATGTGTTTACATTGTGTTAAAACTTTATTACGTGAAATGAATGTTTCTTTACATCATTTCATTTCTTTAATATGAGAGGTCAAAATTGCATTAGGTCAAGTGAATTGTGTTTTATAATTAAACTTATCATTACATGAAGTCAAAAATCCATTCCTTTTCGAGAGTGTATATTTTTATTATATCAAAGCATTATTACATGATATGGGTTTTATCTTTATTTTACGGCGAGAGCATCATGATGTGAGGTGAACACATCTTACCTTTATGTCAGTGCTTTATTACGTGGTGTAAAAAGTATATGACATTATGTGAACATATCTTTATATTATATCAACACTTTATCACATTATATCAAAACTCAATTCCGTGATGTGGATATATAATTACGTTACTGAGTATGTCAACTCTTTCTTATGTGATCTTAAAATATCTTTATATTGTGTTAACTCTTTATCATGTTGATTCCAAAAGTGCATTACCTGATGTAAAAATACATTTACATTATCTCAAAGCTGTATATCTGGTATAACATGAATGTTGACGACGGTGTTTTTATGACTGGAAAGACGGGGGGGGGGGGCTCCTGATTGATACGGAAGAATTAGAGGCACAAAATATCAACCCCCCTCTTTTCCCAAACATAACTTTACAATAGAAAATGTAATGTTCATTGAAAGTACAGCCCCCACCCCCACTTTTTGTTGAAGTATAGTCCACTGAGGGTAATGTAGTATATCTGACAAAAAAATTAGGACTGATCGAAGTTGGACCCCCCTCCCCGAAATAGGATTTTCGGGCTTGGAGTAGACAATTTTTTTTTTTTTGGCTTCTCAAGTTTTTTTTTTCGGGCGAATATTTTTTTCTGGCTACCCCCCCCCCCCCCCCCCCCTCCTTTCGAAAAAGATGATACGTCACGCACTGGAATTAGTAATTTTTTCAACTATTCCGGGCCAGAATTCTATTACAAAAATCTACCAATCCCTCATCTAAATCAATTGAATATGCCTTAGTAAGCATGCATGAACACATATCAGTAGCGGATATGAGAATCTTGAACCAAAAAAAATTGTCCAAGCCTGAAGGGGGACGGTTTATGGTTGGAGACCAAGGGGGAAAGCAGAGAAGCTCTCAGGCTTTATAGTTTTATAAAAAAAAGTTTTCAACTTAATTCAGCTAAACTTAATGTGAAACTAATGCAATGTCCTACAAAGTAAAACCAATAAATGTATTAATTTTTTGTACATGTAGATTTTGGTCACTAAAGATGGTAGGGCGGGATTTCTCCCTCCCCCCAACCCACCAGTGCACGTGTGTTATACGATGTGTTTACACTTTTAAAAAAAAGGAAAGTTCAAGACTGATAAAAAAAAATTATGACAATGTTCTTAGTAAGATCAGAAGTTTAAGACTTTTATCCAAAAAAAAAAAAAATAAATAAATAAACAAACAACAATTCAAAATAAAAAGAAAAAAAATTACTGCACGACTCATAATATTTGATTTATTTAATTATCAGATTAAAGTAAACGCCATTGAATTTCGACGTGACTTTAATTCACAGTCGCAGTATTAAGGCTTTGCACGTTTCAAGATTGTCAATCCTTTGTCGCTTAAAATTTTTATTTAAAGATGCCATTCCCAAATCGCTGAGATTTCTTCTACGGTAATTTTCTCTCCCGCCAATTTTAGTGCTCTCGGAACGTGGAAAATACAATCGGAATTCCTTGGATGACTCGTACCTCGCACATAACGTTTGAATGGAACGTAGCGGAGTCAGCCGAGGATTGCCGATTGCGGAAAATACGGTATGCTCATATAAAGGCCGAGGATACCCGTGTTCGCATAACGTAATAGTGAATCGACATAATGTAGTAGTGTGAGTTAATATCATAAAGAATTGACATAATGTAATGATAGGTTAACACAATGTAATTGTTGTTTAATTAAATGTCATGAACAGTAAACATAACAAAATGCAAGAATGTGTAAATGTCATAAAGTGTTGACATAATGTAAAGGAAGGTTTACACGATGCAATAGTAGTGTGGGATAATATCATAAAGAATCGACACAATATAATGGAAGGTTGACACAATGCAGTAGTAGTGTGGGTTAATGTCATAAAGAGTTGACATAATATAATGGAAGGTTGACACAACGCAATAGTAGTGTGAGTAAATGTCATAAAGAGTTGACATAATGTAATGGAAGGTTGACACAATAAAATAATAGTGGGAGTAAATGTCATAAAGAGTTGACATAATGAAACCAAAGGTTGTCACAATGTAATAGTAGTGTGAATAACTGTCATATGGAGTTGACATTATGTATAGGAAAGTTCACACAATGCAATAGTAGTGTGAGCAATTGTCATAAAGAGTTGACATAATGTAAAGGAAAGTTCACACAATGCTATAGTAGTATGAGTTAATATCATGTAGAGTTGACATAATGTAATAGAAGGTTAACACAATGTAATAGTTGAGTGAGTAACTGTCATATGGAGTTGACATAATGTAATTGAAGGTTGACGCAGTGCAGTTGTTTTGTTCTGCTATAAGGCAGTGACGGCGTTCCATACGACACATATTTGGGTTTACCACAGCAAAACATTGACACTGCCATTATATTCATATGGGAGGCGGGAGTATCATTTAGTGAGCTCATTGCAAACAGTACCTCTATAGTTTTCTAATACTATTGCATAATTATTTGAAATGAATGAGTTGTCGCTCCATTGCGGAATTCTGCTACTTACACATACAGCTTTTAAGCTTGATGATCTTTGTCTTTGCAGGTGTATATTTTTAGCAGGACATGGCGCTTTCTTTGTTAACTATGTGATAACTGCAGCTTTTATTGGGACAGCTTTAGAATTAATTCGATTTTCTGAACTCTTCATGTACGGTCTCAAGTTGTTACTGGCTCACTCTGCTGCTGAGAAAACAGCTGTCAGGAAGGTAGGTCTTTCTCCTTGTTAGGTCACCTGAGTAAACTCAGGTGACCTATTGCTATCTGTTTTTGTCCGTCGTCGTCCGTCGTGCGTCGTGCGTTAACATTTGAACATTTTCAGCTTCTTCTCTGCAACCACTGAACCAATTTCAACCAAATTTGGCACAAAGCATCTATGGGTAAAGGGGAACAAAAATTGTGAATTTCATGATCCCTGCCCCCCTGGGGCCTGAGGGGTGGGGCCAAAACCACTAAAATTAATGCAATCTTTAAAAATATTCTTCTTTACTCCTGGACATCAAGCAGTGAAACTGTTTGCATGATTGTAATCAGCAATGAGTCCTCTACCAAAATTGTAAAATTCATGCCCCTGGGGTCAGGGGTTCTAGTGCTAGGGCGGGGCTAAATAAGTAGGTAGTGAAAATGCATTATTTCTTTGAAAATCTTCTTCTCTGCTCCTGGGTATTAAATAAACCAACTAAGTACATAGTTATGATGAGCAAGAGTGCCTCTACCAAAATTGTGAATTTTATGGCCCCAGGGTCAGGGGTTCTGGTGTTAGGGAGGGGCTCTATTGATTATATATAGTGAAAATACATGAATTCTTTGAAAATCTTCTCCTCTGCTCCTGGGTATTAAATAAACTAACTAAGTACATAGTTATGATGAGCAAGAGTGCCTCTACCAAAATTGTGAATTTTATGGCCCCAGGGTCAGGGGTTCTTGTTTTAGGGTGGGGCTCTAATGATTATATAGTGAAATGCATGAATTCTTTGAGCATCCTGGTTAATATGCTAATGATCTAATTACATATTTAAGGCCAGGATTTATTTTATTTTCAGTTTTACAAACCCTCCGCTCAAGGTTTTGAATGTTCAGAAAAAAATAAAACAATTTTTTTCTTTCCGATGTCAAATTTGAGTCGGGATCGAGATTTCACATTTACGAACTCGCACTTCCGGTTTTAAGATGAAACGGCGGCAATCTCTCACCAGAGGGCGTTTTAACGCTCCGCTCCAACATCTCTGTTATCGTCTAAATTACAAGAATCTTGTAAAACGTAAATAAATTATAGATTTCCACCAAGTTGGTATTTTTTCTTAAATGAAATTAGAAATATCAATCTGTAGCACTTCTTTTGTTCTTTCAAAATTTATATATATATTAAAATAGCTTCAATATATACGGCACTATTTTGTTCTGAATTTTTACACATATTTTCATTTTGAAACCAAGGAGACAAAAGTCAGGAAATATTTACTACCAGAGAGCTTAAAACACGTAACATCATTGAGAAATCATACAAAACAATCAATGTCTAACAATTTTTGTCGACAAATAATTATTTGACAACCCGCGCTACTTTTTAGACGACAACAGAGGTGTAAGCAGAGCGCGCCCTCTGGTGAGAGATTGGAAACGGCGGGTAAATAAAGCGAGATCTGAAAGATAGCTTGGTTTAGTGTAAAATTCATCGATACGAGTGCCATTCAAAAAGTTTCACGTGTTCAAAGGACAAATAAAATGCTGACGACTTTGTTGCACAATGACATGCTGGTGAGATAATTATGTATTCGTTTCAAAAGTATCTGTCTGTAAATTATATTCCTCCCCCAGGTTTTAAACTGCCCGTGGTAGCTGTTGCATATTGCCAGCGACATTGTTTAGGTCTCTGTTATAGCTTACAGTCTAAGCATCATTCTTCAGAAAAGGGTTGCTTATGCATCAGATGTAATGAATAAATCTATGGGAGAAGTTCAGACCATTTGAGGAAGAAATTGTTAAGGGAAGAATATACAAATATATACAGGCATGTAGTATCATTTGTATCAGCCAGAAAAATTATTTTACACTTGATTGAAAAAATGTTCACCCTACACCCGCAATACCCCCTGTCTGTTTTATGATAGGATTAAATTTTAGAACAATGTCAGATTGTTATTGTCTACACATTCACCTAACACATATTAAAAAAAATGAAGATATATTGAAAGACTTTTAAAGAATTGATTTTTTAAAATATATTTTGACCAACATCACAAAATTTATATAACTGGCCCAAACTGGCAGATGATGAAATAAGCAATGTTTTACTTTCCTGTTTGTAAGCATTATGTGTCCAGTGGTAAGGAGCATATTATAATAGCATAAAAAAAAGAATGTACAAATGTTAATAATTGATTTATCAAAAAAAATTTTGATTTCCTTCTCCTTTGGGACTTTTTTATTCTCATGTTCATAACTAAACCTAAACAAAAAAAAAATGCTGGCCTTATAATGAAGAAAGGGGCCTCTTTCAAAATAGATACTTTCAGGGACACTGGGTCAGGGGTACCAGGGGGGTACTTTGACTAAAAATAAATTAATGCTTTGAAATCTGCCCTTTGATAAGCAATGGTGCCTTCTTCAAAATTTGTGAATTTCATGGCTTTTGGATTAAAACACGAACCAAATACAATCGCTGGAAAGTTGTTACATCATACTCAGGTGACCTATAAGGCCCGTGGGCCTCTTGTTACAAAATTGTTAACTTTCCATAAAAGAAATTATTGCTCCGCCTGGTGTTTCCCTGACCTTGTTTTTTGCTTTTTTTTTTATTTGTCTTTGTTGAGACATACAAGTATGTTCCATGTGAAAAGAACTTGAAAGGATTTTCTATGTGTATCTTGCATGAAATTCATGGGGAAATAGTGTTGGTATCTCACTGTGTGTTCTTTCCACATGAATTTCATGAAATTTACGAGATCAATGCACTAGAGGTGGTTTAGAAATGTACATTTCTTCCTGATTCATAAAGAGTGTGCATTTCTTATTCTCTACTCAAACTGTAGGAACAGTTGACAACTGGACATGATTTTAAGCAAAAATGAATAAAAAGTTAAATTTCACTGACTAATGATGCCTGATTTTCCTCTTCAGTCTGTGCTGTGGGAGTTTCAGTATGGTATACAGTATGCCTGGATGTTGTGTGTGTTTGCTGTACTTATGGCCTACAGTCTTCTGTGTCCACTGGTAGTTCCTTTTGGTAAGTTCTTTACCCCTTATCAAAAGACTTAAAAGTATTTAATTATCAGGTTTTGCCTGACATGAACTTGACTGCTTCAAGTGTTGAGTAGACATATAATAACAACAAAGTGACACTTGAAGTACATAAAATTAATGTCAAAATTAACAATGACGAAGTTTCATCTTGTCTTTGTTGTGACCTGAGACATGGATCCTTTTTACTTCAGGTTGGGTGTACATGATTCTGAAGCATGCAGTAGACAGATATAACATTTACTTTGCCTACAAACCCTCAAAGATAAACAAGAAGATTCATTACACGGCCATTAACTTTGTCATCATAGCCACCATACTTCTACAGTTCAATGTTGTCTTCTTCACGGCTCTCAGATCAGGTAATTATTGTACACTGGGTATGAAATTAGAATTAAAAATTTGAAGAGGGCAGTTTTTGTGGTTTGTTGGTGCTTTATATCAGTGTTTTTTTTTGTTTTGTTTGTTAAGTGTTTTGATGAAATTGCATCATATTGCAGATATAGTTTATGGTAAGTCGTGCAATGGAATGTAGTAAATTACTAAATTTAATGTAGCATATTATCTGGTGAAGTTTAACTTTAACATATACTTGCCTACTGTATTGGTGAAAGCTGATAAATTGCTTATTAATTATAGCATTCTTGTACATTGCTTCGAAATATATCTAGGCATTCTTGAGGGAAGCACATTTTAAATCTGTAAGGGATAAACTGACCTGTGGGTCTCTATCATTGTTTCTTTCCATTTAGGTCAAATGAGCTATTTTTAAGTGTCTGTCCATTGTCTAGCTGTCATCTGTTAACTTTTTATGTTTTCAATTTTATCTTGAAAGGTTTGTAGTTTTATGTAGATATGAGACACTTGGTGTAAACAAATATAGTAACTTTGTAGTAATTAAGAGATAAAGTCATGTTTCCATTGGGGGGGGGGTAATAATCAATAAATAATGGGTAGTAAAAATAGGAAAGAGTGATTTCAAAAGTATTTAGAGTACTATTGGAACCAAATGCAGGGTAATGTCTAATATTAATTACAAATGTTTTTTTTTTTACATGTATTTGTCTCGTCTTCTGTCTCTCTTTTATTCTTTACTTTTAGTATCTTTTTATCGGTGGTTGTTGATTTTCAGTCTCTAAGGTTCTAACAGTTTTTAAGGTCTTCCGTTTCCAACGGAAGACCTTCTACTGATTCTGTTGGTAAAGATTATTATTCTTTTTTTTCTTCTGCTTCCTAGACCGAAACTTTGAAGCCTCATATCTCACTCATTTCTCAACAGATTTCGCTCAAATTTTCAGAGGTTATAGACGTTAATAAACTCTATCAGAATGCTGACTAAAATTTCAAAAAGTCACTTCCGGTTTTGAGATATTTCCCTTTAAACGAAAATTTATAGGCTTTCGTTTCCAGACAAAGGCTCAGAGACGGCTAAAGCTGGAGCAGAAATTCTACTGATTTTAGATAATAGAAGGATTGAAGTTGTGCACATCGGTTTTTGTTTTTCGATTTCTCTATTCAAAATGGCGCTATATAGGGGTCAAAAATTAGAACGCTTAAAAGAACCAAAAATTACTCATATTTTGCTTTTTATCTTCTAAACTAAAAATATTTTGTTAAAATATATAGAACATAATTTGTGCAGAATTAGAAGAACTTTCAAAAGATATGTCGGAAAAGGGGCTGACCCCTAAATTAAGGGATCTAGAGGGGCCAGAAGTTTTTTCCAGATATCTCAAAAAGTATTGAGAATTTGTTATACATCAAAGAAGCAAAGTAGTTGAAAATGTCAAGCTTAATCAAATAGAGTCGTCAAATTACGTCCAGCGTTGTCACTTCCGGCCAAACCGGAAGTAGTCGGAAAAGGCATATTTTTGCCATTTTTGACATGTTTTTGGGTAACATATGTCTCTGGGAGCTTAAAAATTAATTTTCCTGCGTCGTCGTCACTTCCGGTCAAACCGGAAGTAGCAATAATGGCTCATTTTTGCATTAATTAACATAGCTTTAGAGGATTCAAAGCATTTTAGGCGTTATTTCTCATATTTGTTAAAAATGAAAGCTACTTCCGGTCAAACAGGACGGAAGACCTACTCGTTGCTTTGCAACGAGCTTTGCTCTAGTTATTGAGATATATTTGTATGCTTAAAAATGAACAATAATTAGACAAATTAGTTATCTTAACTGTCTGCATGTATACACTGTACCAGTGCTACTATTTCTTTAATCAAGTCCTGTATGTGACTGGATTAATTGGACTGGTATATTGTGTAAAATGTCCTTAAAAAACCTGAGACTAAATATATACCAAAGAAGTTTATATACCTATACCTGTTCTGCACATGTAAATTATAAATAAACTTTTCCATTCTAGATTGATTTAAGAAATAAGGTATCATTTAAAACATCTATCGGGCTATAAATACGGGGTTGGTACGAGATCAAATTCATTATAAAGCCCAAATGTTTTAATATGATACCTTATTACTTATTTTTACATTTGTTACTAATTCATACTTTATATTTGCCTGATTGTGACTTTTAACATGTGAAATGCAGTATTTTTCAAACCCAAGAGCATGTATGTAATCCACAGAACGCGCGTCGGTCCTTTATGACATCTCTGAGAAATTACATTGAACATTTATCCATACACACATCTATGACCTCTTGACCCTGTTCCCTTATTTATACAGTTATAGATACGTATTGCTTTCATTAGTGTTATATAAAGGAAAACATTTGCAATTGTAAATATTTATATATATCTCACATACTGAGGAACCAGAACTATAAATGTATTGTTGATCTTTACAGAGAAATCAGAGTTGTAAATGCATCACGTCTATTTACTAAGTAATTAGGGCTGTAGATTATAATTTTTTTTAATTTACTAATTAGAACTGTAGATGTACCATTTATGTTAGGATCAAGAAACTCTATACATACTGTTTTGTTTATTGAGTTATTAGAACTGTTAATATATAGTTATTGTTTACTGTGTGAGTAATTATAGAATCACCATTTCTGTTTACAGTGAGTAATGAGAGCTATAAATATTCTGTTGACAGTTAGTAACTAGAGTATTAATATTTTGTTTACAATCAGTAATTAAAGCTATAAATATTTTGTTTACAGTCAGTAATTAGGCTGTAAATACTTTGTTTACAGTGAGTAATTAGAGCTGTAATTATTCTGTTTACAGAGGCTGTAAACCCAGTTTTTGTCTTCTCCTCGGTGGCCCTCTTTATCTCCATTGTTATGTTCGTCGGCCGCGCCTTCTTTGGATGGTTTAAAAATCTGTCTTCAGCCACCAGAAAATATATGGTAAGGGCAATAACTCTGTAAGGAATCATCATGTGGCATTTGAATGAAAAAGCACTTTTAACACTTTTAAAAGCATCAATATATCACTAAAAATTAAAGAATAATGTGCATAAATAAAATAAAGAATTTCCTTGTGTAAAATATAAATGAATGATCTGAAAACTTAATGTGCACGAACCCAATACAAATGTATTTACTTTATGTCAAGTAGAGGAATGAAAATAAAGGCATGAATGTTGTGTTCCTTTTTAAAACAAACTATGCATTAATATATAAAAAAGATTTTTTTTGTAATCTTAAGAGATTGTGTTTGTTGCTTAATTGCTTATAATTTAATATGTTGGTCTATGCCTCTTTTACTTGTACAACAGATCATGGCTAACTTGTGATATTTATCAACAAAACAACTGTATTTAACATCTCTTTATTTAAGACAGAAGTAAGCTATATTTTCGAAATTTTAATTGTACAGAAAGATCATCCCAAGGAATCAAATGCTAGGTCACAAAATTCTCCCTCAATTGATTCTCCAGATGTAAGTTCCTCAACACTTGATTATGTGCACTCGAGGAATGCTGCTGATATTCCTCAGCTACATTGGCATTAAGCTTGAGCATGATGCTGAAATATGTATCTAATGAAGTAATGGCACTAACACTGTATACCAAGCTCTGCTATCTTAATAGAATTTTCAGATCTAACTAATTTAGACAGGTTTCAGAAGAAAAATGAAAGTTGTAAAACTCCAACATAGGGGATTTCACATTAAATTATTGTTTATTCTATCTTCTACTTGTCATGACCTGTTGGACCTAGTAGGGGGGGGGTAGTATTGGGGGGATGTAGTGGGAGAGGGGGTATTTCAATGTTGTGTATGTTTATGCCAGGTTCAAAAGTTCAAAAATCCCAGTTAGATTTCGATATTGAGAGTTTAAATCTCAGCTGAGATTCTAAAAAAAGCAAATGTGTAGCTGGTCTGAAAAAATTCTCCATCTCAAGTATCTAGACTAGTAAGCTATGTATATCATTATATACATTTGTTAGAATTAAGCAGCACTTCACATATGGGTTTTGTCTTGTCTTTTTTTCTTCATAACTCAAGGTATCATAATATAGCATCATAAACATTCAATTTGGCAAATGACATCATGTTATTGTAGACACTTTTTATATGAATTTACACAACATACATTGATAGTTGATGTTTTTGGTTGATTCCTTGGATAGCAATGTTCAGGTGGGTTGGTATTCAGTATATCCACCCCTTCCCACAGTAAACTGGTACCCTGCTCCTCGTGTTGCTTCTCTGTTGTATCATTGTGGCGTCCTCTATAGTACCCTATTGATTATAAGCTTTGGTCATTGTGTTACTGGTCATAGTACCCTGTTGACAGCTTTTGTCTTTGTGGCCTCTGTTATATTGTGATATTTATAACTTTCCTCCTTTTTTGTCCACTGCATTGTCAGAACACGGAGGATAATTGTGAAGAAAAGGTAGGAAACCAACTGTATAACAATAGTGACATACAGAAAACCAACTGTGTAACAATAGTGACATACAGAAAACCAACTGTATAACAATAGTTACATACAAAAAACCAACTGTAAAACAGAAGTGACATACAGAAAACCAACTGTATAACAATAGTGACATACAGAAAACCAACTGTATAACAGAAGTGACATACAGAAAACCAACTGTATAACAGAAGTGACATACAGAAAACCAACTGTATAACAGAAGTGACATACAGAAAACCAACTGTATAACAATAGTGACATACAGGAAACCAACTGTATAACAATAGTTACGAGGGGTTATCAAAAAGTTCGTGGACTGAGGCTATAAAATTAGTACTATGTAGTCTGTGCTTTCAAAATTTATATGGAACATAAAACAACAAAAAATAAAGAAATGTTGAAAATGTTGGCTTGATACGTTCATTATTTGCCAAATTATTATAAAATAAAAACGGCATTATATGATCACTCGGCGCTGTCATCGTTTATTTTCATGACGTCCGACAACGTCATTGTTTATTTCAATGTCCTCTTCTTCTACCTCATGCACTTTTTTGGATGAGATTTCCTGGAGCTGAGTAAGAACTTCAACCCGTCTTGTTTTTATGACTTTACAATGTCATAAACAGTGGCTTTCAATAAATATAATATTCCATATGGATTAAAACATTTGGAGAGATCTTCGCTTGATTGTGCCAGTATACTTTGCTTTTAAGAGTTCAATATCTACAACACATGATCAACGTTATTTTTTGTCGTGATTGATTTTTCACACCTTGACTACAAATCGACATTAACTGTGTATCCCTTTTCTCTCTGAATATATTTTGACATTAAAAGACAAGTATTCTGGATGCATATTATTTCTCTGTAGCCAGTTAAAACATTTCTTAGGTCTATACCATTTTTTCAGGGGCAAAACTTGATTGAATGTTGGAAAAAGAAACTCCTCCCCCCTTTTGACGTCATTTTCAAGGCCTCATTTATTTGGACTTTCCATGTAAAATTTACGATAAAATTTCATAGAACTTACAAAATAAAGTGAAAATTTCATATTTTATGGAGAAAATGTGTCCCGACACATACCTGAATTAACAGGATTTTTGGATGTCAAATGTTCATATCAAGAGAGTTTTTTTCTCAGTTACACATAGGTCGCAAAAACGTCGTGTTCGAGGTTGCGCTGCCTGGACATACCATTGCTTACAAAAACATTACTAATTTATTAAAAAATAAAATTTTTGATTTATGGTTTATTCTTTAGATAGAAAAGATGATGCTAACTAGATATTTCAAAATTCATTGATGTACCTTAAGCGGTTTTAATTTTATGGCGCTAGTCCACGAACTTTTTGATAACCCCTCGTACATACAGAAAACCAACTGTATAACAGAAGTGACATACAGAAAACCAACTGTATAACAGAAGTGACATACAGAAAACCAACTGTATAACAGAAGTGACATACAGAAAACCAACTGTATAACAATAGTGACATACAGAAAACCAACTACAGAAAACCAACTGTATAACAATAGTGACATACAGAAAACCAATTGTATAACAGTAGTGACATACAGAAAATCAACTGTATAACAATAGTGACATACAGAAAACCAACTGTATAACAGTAGTGACATACAGAAAACCAACTAACTGTATAACAGTAGTTACAGTGTCATACAGAAAATAGCAATCTGCTTGAGTGAAAGGTCATCAAATTCAAGGTTTTAAAGTTTAATACAGTCCTCAAGGAAAAGAGTTACTTTGTCTGCCATATGGGTATTTGTCATGAAATAAACACATATGCACATTCAATGAAATAAAATATAAACAAAAAGAACAACATAAGGTATATCTGTATACTGCAGCCACAGAAACAAGCTATAGCTGCCATCAAATGTAACAAATGTAAGGGGTTTACATACTCCAGTACTGATGTAGAAAATAGAAAAACTAATATGGCTTATGCCTATTTATGAGTTGAACTTTAACCTCATAGAATTGAATTGATCAGTATATCTGTGTATTTTTAAAACACTCTATATTTCTAACCCTTGTTTTGCATATCGAAAAGTTTTTCCCTCAATCCCATTGAATTTGAGATAATAGGATTTGACTGTTTTTTTTTTAAACTACAATGTATAAATTTTGGAGAAAATGTTATGAACAATGTACAATAACATTGAAATCCATGGCAAACTATGTTCTTTATGCATGAGATAACACCTTTGTATGTACTCATGTAGCATAATGATGTTTGTCTGAGGGTATGTTGCCACATCTTTGTTGGTCTTGTTAAGTAAACGTTTGCAGCTAGTAAAAGGAGGCTTATAGGGTTACTGTTTTAGTGACTGGGTCAAAGAAGGTGATATGTTGTCTTTTAGCATGAGTCTGGTTAATGTACATCAGGGAGACATGACTGACATAACTGACATAGCTGAAAGGTCATTTTCTATTTGTACTTTGTGACTGATGAATTCTGAGGTCAAATTTTTTGGTAAATTGATTTCTTAGAAAATATAGTAATTTTATGAGTCGAATACAATTCTGAATGTCCAGTTTGGATCAGTATACAGCATTAGTTCAGTAAGTTATTTTGAAATGAACATCATTCCATTACATATCATTGCAGCACTTTGTGGAACAAGAGCAAGGAGCCAGTACACCCGATTCTACAGATAGAGTAAGTGCTTTACTTTTGGTCACCATTCAGTTGAAATTCTGGCTTTGATATCAAGTCATCTCAAAATTTGTAAAAATCAGTTGTATGTAAAAAAAAAAAAAAAAAGAAAGAAAAGAAAGATATACATAGTTTAGAGTGATAATGATTATTGCATCTTATTTCAGCCTTTTGTTGCTGGAGTTCTATTGGATGATAATGCCCCGCCTTCAGAGAATGGTGCTAGCCGATTGGCTGCTTCCTATGGAACTATGTCTGGCACTACACCAGTAAACCAGGATAATGAAGAAGTGAGCACTAATGATGTCCACTATGTCCAGTAGTGGTCACTTTACACCAAGGAATCAATGTCTTCTAATCATAGAACTCCAAGAAATGTAGAAAGCTACCATAGTTATACCAAAGCTTCCACACTGAATATAAAATCATTATGTTTTGATAGAAAAAAAAAACTCTGTGCAAGATCTTCATGTCATCTGATTTTAATGAGGCATAATTTTATCAGAAAGGGCATGTTTAACACACAAAAGCAAATATGTAAGGAAGCTTTAAAACTACCTTAAAGAAAAACTAAATATTTATGTACTAGTGCTAGAATCTAGGAAAAAGTCAGGTTGATATTTGTATTACACAGACAGTGCCTCTGGTATTTAAAACAGCCAAATGCCAAAAGTCGTGCTCAAAAATAAACCTTCTGGAGTCAAATATACAACTATGTACATGAATATATTATTGTACATGAAATGTGACATGTTTGATAAGTAAACTATATTTTTGAATTGGATTTTGAATAATTGCTTGAATTAAGATAATTAATACATCAAACATGTATCTAGTTGTTTTTTTTTTGCATAATACCATACATATATACATGATATTTATTCAAAGACATACACAGCTTATTCAGGATTCTACACAAAAATCAAAACCCAACATTATATTAAATGTTTGTTTTTTTAAAATTTTTTATCAATTTTATATGTTGTTTTTTCCTGACAATTGTGTAGTAATTTTACATGCAATCTATGGCCTGTAGATTGATTGTACAGCTATATTTCTATACTGCATTAAAAATCATTATCATAATAATATTTTTAGTTTTACAGAAGCGTGTAATTCAGAATTAATGGATTTAGAAAAAATATAGTTAGGGGAAAGAAATGTGTTTTCTAAAGCTTTTCCACTGAGAATTTTTGCCAGATTGGTTCTATTTATGATCATGGTAGGTTAGCTCCAGCATTTCAGTTTTTTCATACCAGTGTATGAGTAGTCAGTACTGCTTGTTGTTAATTTTAACAAGAATTTGAGGAATACATTTATTGTTAGTGTATCTAGTTTTTAGGATAGTACACCAAATACTTTGAAGAAAAAATTATTTTTTCATAGATGAGGGTTCACATTTCAATTTATCCTATTTGTGTATACATTCTTATTTATTTTTTATTTGGGTTACATAGTAAAACAAAACATGTGTTGTTTTCATTGTGCACTGTTTGTCTGCATTGTTTGAAAGTTCATTTCAAATATGATTCACAGTTGAAAAAATAAGTACTTTATAATTATCATGGTTATAGTAATATATCTCAAATACATGTAAAATAAAGGTATGCCTACTTATATTGACATTATTTTGTATTATGCCTTTATAAAAACAGAAAGTACTGAAATTTGAAGTTTGTTATGTACATGACAATACTTTAAAAGGGCATTTTGCTTTTTGGTCAACATATGATAATTTATGTTCTGTCAATTTCCCTTTTTGTTTATTTTTTCCAAGTTATTCAAATCACATATAGTTTAATTTACTTGAAGCAAAGTATACATGAAGCATGTTTCTTTTGAGGTATCTGTATATTAAAGTAACAAAAGTTGACTGAAAGCAAAACTCCTGAAGCAATAATAGGTGACTGTCAGTAAGATTAATTTTTTTCCACTGTAACTTCCACGTTAGACAGCACAGGTGTGGATTGTGATCCAGGTCACTCTTCTGTCATAGCTACTACTATTACAAACTGTCAGAGCTGCTACTTAAGAATTGTTAAAATGGTATATAGTGTTTTTTCTCAGACTTGTGCAATATACATGTACGGTACATATGCTGGTACATGTGTTAACATATGTTTTGTTTGAATTATCAGAGTTTATTTCATGTTGTGTAAATGTCTTACCCATGTTGCTGATAAATAAAACCATGTCCTTGTCTAATGTATTACTGATTATTTCTAAAAGAACCTAAAAAAAAAGACTTTATCTTCAATTATCCATGTTTTTGAAGTATCCATGTTTTGAAGAAAAAAAGTTTCTATCAAGTAAACATTTTCCCTACTTCAGTAAATTCCCAAATACTAGGGGACAAATGAAACACATCAATGTGTAAGACAATCACATGGAAGAATTAAAAGTTACACCCTTGGCTAGATTTATGTCATGCTTTTTTGTCTTAATTCATACACCGTCACCTTGTAATTGATCATAATTGGAATTTACTGAACCTCACTGAAACACAGTCAAGAAAGCTTAAATTTAAATTTTAACAGACAGGAAAGATTGTGGTCCAGATTGGACTCGAACAAGGGACCTCCTGGTTATGGTGCAGTAGCTCTACCATTGAGCTACTTGGCCAATATACCCAATCCCTTACAAGCTCTACCTGGCCAATATACCCAATCCCATTAACAAGAAGCCCATGGGCCACATCACTCACCTGAGCATATTGGCAACAAAAACAAAAAAAAAACACAAATCAGTTCAGTATTGAAAAGTAGGTCTTGAATTTTAAACTACCTGAAAATGCTTCCATATCAATATCAATGGCTTTACTGTTCTTGAACAGAAGATTTTTTCCTAGATATTCCTTTGTAAAAAAAAATTCACCCCAATTATGCCCCTCCCTACCCCCTGGAATCATAAATGAACAAATGTGAATGTACACTACCTAATGATACTGCCATATCAATATAACTAAACTGTTCTTGAACAGAAGATTTTTTCCTAGATATTCCTTTGTAAAAAAAATTCACCCCAATTATGCCCCTCCCTACCCCCTGGAATCATAAATGAACAAATGTGAATGTACACTACCTAATGATACTGCCATATCAATATAACTAAACATGGCATTTCAATTCTATAGAATAAAATCTTTTTATCAAAAAAATTTAATATATATTTTGCCCCGCCCTAACACCCCCACCCCTATCCCGGGTTGACTTAAAAACTTGATTCTACACTACCTGAGAATGCTTCCACCTAAGTTTTATCATTCCTTACCCAGTGGTTCTTGAGATAAAGATTTTTTAAAAAAATTTCTATATATACCTATGTAAAACTTGATTCCCTATTGTGGCTCTTCCCAAACCCCGGAGGTCATGATTTGAACGAACTTGATTCTACATTACCAGAGGATACTTCCACCTAAGTTTTATCTTTACTGGCCCAGTGGTTCTTCAGAAAATTTTTAAAAGATGTCATTAATTTTTCTAATTATTTAACATTCCTCTCTTGAAAGAGGGTATGGCCCCTCATTTTAACAAATTAAAATCCCAGAAAATAAATCCACTGTTCTGTTAGCTCAAAACAGTTTTTTAATCCACTGGGTTTGTTTATAGCATAAACAAAACCAGGGACATTAGCAACTGGTACCACTTACACTACCTATTCAGAATGTGACTTGAGTGCATCAGCAATGTCCACTTCTCTCTTTGGCAATGCCCATCATACTCAACTGAAAAATACAAAATTGATTGATTAATTGCTTGTATGTTGTCGTCACTCTCCAAAATGTTTCAGTCATATGGAGACCCTATAAAGAATTAAAAAGAGACAAGAATATAAACTTACTCCTTTCAATCTGTGTACTGTTGACAATAACATTTCGATTGCTGTTGTTTCTTGACTTCTATCACAGCCGAGATGTAGTACAAGTCACATTCTGATGTTTTATGAGTGAGTGGCTCAAATCAGTTTTTTAATCCACTGGGTTTGTTTATAGCATAAACAAAACCAGGGACATTAGCAACTGGTACCACTTACACTACCTATTCAGAATGTGACTTGAGTGCATCAGCAATGTCCACTTCTCTCTTTGGCAATGCCCATCATACTCAACTGAAAAATACAAAATTGATTGATTAATTGCTTGTATGTTGTCGTCACTCTCCAAAATGTTTCAGTCATATGGAGACCCTATAAAGAATTAAAAAGAGACAAGAAAATAAACTTACTCCTTTCAATCTGTGTACTGTTGACAATAACATTTCGATTGCTGTTGTTTCTTGACTTCTATCACATCCGAGATTTAGTACAAGTCACATTCTGATGTTTTATCAGTGAGTGGCTCAAATCAGTTTTTTAATCCACTGGGTTTGTTTATAGCATAAACAAAACCAGGGACATTAGCAACTGGTACCACTTACACTACCTATTCAGAATGTGACTTGAGTGCATCAGCAATGTCCACTTCTCTCTTTGGCAATGCCCATCATACTCAACTGAAAAATACAAAATTGATTGATTAATTGCTTGTATGTTGTCGTCACTCTCCAAAATGTTTCAGTCATATGGAGACCCTATAAAGAATTAAAAAGAGACAAGAAAATAAACTTACTCCTTTCAATCTGTGTACTGTTGACAATAACATTTCGATTGCTGTTGTTTCTTGACTTCTATCACAGCCCAGATTTAGTAGAAGTCACATTCTGATGTTTTATCAGTGAGTGGCTCAAATCAGTTTTTTAATCCACTGGGTTTGTTTATAGCATAAACAAAACCAGGGACATTAGCAACTGGTACCACTTACACTACCTATTCAGAATGTGACTTGAGTGCATCAGCAATGTCCACTTCTCTCTTTGGCAATGCCCATCATACTCAACTGAAAAATACAAAATTGATTGATTAATTGCTTGTATGTTGTCGTCACTCTCCAAAATGTTTCAGTCATATGGAGACCCTATAAAGAATTAAAAAGAGACAAGAATATAAACTTACTCCTTTCAATCTGTGAACTGTTGACAATAACATTTCGATTGCTGTTGTTTCTTGACTTCTATCACAGCCGAGATTTAGTAGAAGTCACATTCTGATGTTTTAAGAGTGAGTGGCTCAAATCAGTTTTTTAATCCACTGGGTTTGTTTATAGCATAAACAAAACCAGGGACATTAGCAACTGGTACCACTTACACTACCTATTCAGAATGTGACTTGAGTGCATCAGCAATGTCCACTTCTCTCTTTGGCAATGCCCATCATACTCAACTGAAAAATACAAAATTGATTGATTAATTGCTTGTATGTTGTCGTCACTCTCCAAAATGTTTCAGTCATATGGAGACCCTATAAAGAATTAAAAAGAGACAAGAATATAAACTTACTCCTTTCAATCTGTGTACTGTTGACAATAACATTTCGATTGCTGTTGTTTCTTGACTTCTATCACAGCCGAGATTTAGTACAAGTCACATTCTGATGTTTTATCAGTGAGTGGCTCAAATCAGTTTTTTAATCCACTGGGTTTGTTTATAGCATAAACAAAACCAGGGACATTAGCAACTGGTACCACTTACACTACCTATTCAGAATGTGACTTGAGTGCATCAGCAATGTCCACTTCTCTCTTTGGCAATGCCCATCATACTCAACTGAAAAATACAAAATTGATTGATTAATTGCTTGTATGTTGTCGTCACTCTCCAAAATGTTTCAGTCATATGGAGACCCTATAAAGAATTAAAAAGAGACAAGAATATAAACTTACTCCTTTCAATCTGTGTACTG